CAACACAACCAAATAAAGAAACGCACTGCAAAAACAGAAACGCGCTGCAAATGCTCACAACACAACCAAATACAGAAACGCAAGTACAGACCACAACGGGAGGACCCCAACAATGCCAAAATTACCCCAACAAAATGAAAATTAACTTTTTTTTTTTTTTAGTTATTACCATTTGTATAAACACGGTTGTACAAATACCATGGTTAAACTATGGTTAGTGTAGTAAATCCATGGTTAATTTGTGGTTACTATGGTTTAACTATAGTAACCATTTTTTTGTTTTTATTTATTTTTTACATAATAAATGTATTTATTAACTAATTTTAATAGTAAAACCATATGGTTAATGCCAGCTTACATGCTTTCAAAGTTACAGTAATTGTGTATTTCGTCAGCTTATTTAGGCTAATAATTAAAAAAAAAAAAAAGAAGAAGAAGCAAAGGAATCGAATGATCAGGATGTTAAAATAAACAAAAATCTCACCTTTCAGAGCAAACATTGATAAATATGTCCCAGCCATGTTCGTCACTTTGCGGTACCCTTAAACAATTTCCGATGTGGTCTGTGCCTATTTGTAGCGCGTTTCTTTATTTGGTTGTGTTGTGAGTATTTGCAGCACGTTTCTGTTTTTGCAGCGCGTTTCTTTATTTGGTTGTGTTGTGAGGATTTGCGTGTGTTTTTTCATTTGCAGCGTTGAGCTCTCTTGGCCACCGTATCATAGGGTTGAAAATAATCTCTCTAAAAATGTATCTAGTTTTATGTATCTGGTATATTTGGTTTTGTTGGTATAAATTAATGTATTTAGGTTTGATCAACAATATTCAATATTTTTGACGTGAAACCAGTTTAAATGTTACCATTTTTGTAACCACTTTTTTCAGTGTGTGTTTTTAGGAACGATTTAATAAGTGCAAAAAACATCTTATAGGATTTTATATATGCATTCTTTTTAAATCATTCCTACACTCCTGAATGTTGTCATAACCACAGGAAGAAGTACAGGCGAGAATGTCTATTGTGTAAACAAAGCACACTATTGTGATCGCTTGTCATTACATCAGAAAATTCTGACTGCCATTTTTGGTTGGGTGTTGAGTTGGCATTAGCACAACATTATTTTCAGTCTCAAACAGATTTACATTTCTCACAGCTCTCTTTTTTTTGCCCAGTTGAGCAATTAGCTCAAAAACCCACAACAGCTTCACATTTTGCCATGGTTTTAAAGTGAAATGCACGCTATTTTTCAGAGCATGTTGCTTAAATGTACAGGAAGGGAAAAGTGATGTGTATTATTATGAGTGAATCAAAAGAATGAATCAACAACAAGAGCATAATCAGACCCAGCGGCTCCAGATTTGCCTGATTGGGTTAATGGTGCAGAAAAGGCCTTTGAAATGCAAGATATTTTCTGTAATTCCAAATTCAGATCTTGTTTTCATTGTAGCACTGCACCATTATACATCCTCAGGGTCACAAAATACTACTTCTTTGCTCACACAATGTATTATTTATTTATTTTTTAAAATACAAAGGGACCTATAAACATCGATATTTCATTATTAAAAAGGACAAACATGAGTGATAGATACATAACATTAATGTTTATATGAAAAGCATCTCAGCACAGAAACCATCATCAAGTCTCACCCAGAACTCAGCACTAACATACAGAATGACCTTAAAATACATACATGGGTAGAGTAAACCAGCAAAGCACAAACCTGAGCGTTCAAAGTAAAGGCACCAGAGAATTTTCCTCTCACATAACTCACCAAAACATAACATTGCTTTTAGGTTGCATTGTTGGTTAAAGTGCAAACCAAGCACTAGTGTGAATGAAACACGGAGAATCATTCGCTCAGGCAACTTGACCGTGCATCTGTATATTTCCAAATATACAACTCCCTCGTGCAGCCCATTTAGTGGTTTTCCTCTCTGGAAACCATAAAACACCTCACAGTGTTACGTTGGCCTTGACAAGCCACGGGATAAAAGCTGAACACTCCGTCCAGCTTCGGTGTTGAGTATTGTTCAAACGGCAGAAGCGCTGAAATATAAATATAAAAGCACGACTGAATCGCATGCATGATGCTTTCTCTGGCGCTACGATACGTTCTGCACAAATGGAAAACTGTCATTCACGAGGCCGCAGTAATGTTCACGAAATGTCCGTTTCTTTGATACCAACCGCAGCTGAAACCACAACCACCCAAAACACTGAGCATGAATGTGTCTCGGAGAAAACAAGAGTCTGTTTCGACACTACAAAGAGGACAGTATAAAGCATAAACATCCCATGAATGCTGGAGGAAACATCTGTCTTGAGCAGAAAATGTTCTGAGGTGGCGGAACATCTCAAGCTGTTGAAACAAAATTCTTAAGTGAAACATTATGTTGAAGAAAAACCTTATTATTTCCAATCCTGCTCTTCAAAGTCTTAGTGCAAGCAAGGCATTGGAAAATGAGTCGGTTGACGCAATTCCTCTATGATTTTAGTGTCTCTTTCATGAAGGCGTGAGGAACATATTCAAGTATTCAGACCACTGACACTCCTTGAGACGGGGCGGTGAGGGCGCTGATGATGTCTGGCAGTTCAATGCGTGCGAGAGCGGAGCAGAGCAGGCCCAACGTGGAGCCTTCCTGTTGGGCCCAATCAGTTAGGAGAGTGTGGATGGGGTCTTGGCCCCGCCCGAAGATGTCCACGCTGTCCTGTTCGTAACCGAGTGCGGCCGCCAGCTGTCTCCAGCTCCGACTGCCCCCCTCGGCGAGAAGCCCCTCTACCTCCTCCTGCCTGTGAAGAGGCAGGTTCACATAAAGTCGCGTGTCCTGTTTGCTGTCTCGTTTACTGCCTGTGGAAAGTGTGAGAAAGGGAACAAATAATTACTAATCAGCCATTTGCACTTTTAGTGAACGCAACCTACAGTACACGATTACAGAACCGGCATTACTATCAAAATGCGCATGACAATCGCATTCGATTAATCGTGCAGCCCTAACACTACAAGTGACAATATTTCCAACGCAACCAGTGTAGTCCAGTTCATAAACAAATGACTCTTATGAACCAATTATTTTTTGTGAATCAAAACATACAGTTCAACCAATGCAGCCAGATTCCTGAATTGAACGACTTATGAACAACTTCTTTTTAGTGAATCAAAAACATAATGCGACCAATGTTGCCCGTTTCCCCAAATTATTGAATTATATGAACTAATTATTTTTGGTGAACCAAACAACGTAAAGCACAACCAATGTAACCTGATACCTAAAAGGAAATTAGTCTTATGAGACTTTTCTTTTAATGATCAATTCAAAAAAACAAAAAACAAATGATTAGAACAAATCACTCTTATGAGCCCATTCTTTTAATGAACAGTTTAAAAAGACGAATGAATAGAACAAATGACTCTTATGAGCCAGTATTTTTAATAAACAGTTTAAGAAGACAAATTAATAATACAAATTACTCTTATGAGCCTGTTTGTTACTAAGAATCACCGGCTCGCTGGACGACCCTTGATTTAAAGTGTAAACTATCAGATTTTAATTCAGCTTTAATCAGGTTGACTCAGAATTTTCAGATTCGAGTCCTTTTAAAACCTGAATGAATTAATAATAATTAATTCCCTTACAAATGAGTAATTTCATTACAATTGGTTCAAAAAGACAAATAAATAGAACAAATAACTCTTATGGGGCAGTTTTTTAATGAACAGCTAAATAAGATGAATGAGTAGTAAAAATGACACTTATGAGTTGGTTCTTTTAATGAACAGTTCAAAAAGAAGAACGAATAGTACACATGACTCTTATAAGCAAGTTCTTTCAATGAACAGTTCCAAAAGACGAATGAAATAGTACAAATGACTCTTATGAGCCTGTTCTTTCAACAATTGGTTCAAAAAGATAAATAGAACAAATCACTCTTATGAGGCATTTTTTTTAATGAACAGCTAAATAAGATCGTAAAAATGACACTTATGAGTTGGTTCTTTTAATGAACAGTTCAAAAAGATGAATGAACAGTACAGATTACTCTTATGGGTCGATACTTTTAATGAACAGTTCAAAAATACGAATTAATAGAACAAGTGACTCTTAGGAGCCAGTTTTTTAATGAAGAGTTAAAAAAGGCGAATGAATTAGTTCTTCAAATTAATGGTTAAAAAAGAAAATGAATAGACCAAATGACTCTTATAAACCAGTTCTTTCAATGAACAGTTCCAAAAGATGAATGAAATAGTACACATGACTCTTATGAGCTATGAACTGTTAAAAAAGACGAATAAATAGTAGAAATTATGATCAGGAAATCTGTATGGATTGCCAACCCTATCTCTGTTTAAGCTGTTCTCTCATACCTTTGCTAGGCTGGCTTTCCTGAAGGCTGTGAGAGTCCAGAAACACGCCACTGTCGCTGTGTAACTTCTCTCCTTCCCCGACATTATTCAACTCGCCAACCCGTGCTTTCACCAGAGCCTGCTTCTGCTGACATGACCTCCAGCTGGACACACACCGAATCACACGCTTATCATCAAGTAAAAACAAGAATAATATTTCCCTTCACAGACACGTTATGGTATTCTAAATCTAGCATATACAAGTCGAATGAAGTTCTGTGTAAATCATGTGCATAACCTCGCAGAGTGTATTTTTCTTCTTTGAATTGCTGCATGACCTCACCATTTGTAGGCGACGTAGAGCAGGAGGCCGAGCACCACCGCAGCCAGTACAGACACGTAGACCAAGATGTTGTTGTTGTTGCCCCCTTGGTCCTGTGGAGTAAGTCGAGGGGATCCAGACCCTGGTGCTGGGCTGCTCCTGTTCTCCGTTTCCTCATTCAGAGTCGGCTTTCGGGGGTATTCACGCTGACCATCAGAACCAGATGGACGGGACAGGATGTTAAGGTCTTTTACTGGAAAAAAACCCCCCACACATTTGGTCATTCTGAACTGCCTTTATAAACATTATATATGTATATTAGTGCTGTCAAAATTAGCGTGTTAACACAGGCGATTAATTTTTCCAGTTTAACGGCGTTAAAAATATTTAACGCAGGGGAGGAGCTAGGGTTGGCCACCCCACTCACAACTGCTGCTTCTGTCTCTTTTTTTCTTGACAAGAATTGCATTTATTTTAATTACTTTATGAGCACATCAAACAGGAGACTTTTCAGACGCGCGCTCCAACAGTGAAATGCGGTCAGATGAGATGTTGTCAGGCAATATGTCAGTAAAAACATCTTCCTGTCCTGTCAGCCATTACACTGGGCTTGTAGAGCGTGCTCTTAAATTGCACGCATAAATATGGCGGTGCCCGCTGTAGCCTGTATCATTTCATATTAAAGCGCGAATGAAACTACGAGCATGCTTGTCAGATCCACGTCACGTTCAGCAGTGGCAGCTCTTAAAGTGATAGCAGTCAAATAACCTAATAATCCAGCTGCTGTGATGTCTGTTAATCAAAGAACAAAAGAAAAAAGAGGAAATCAATCACTTTTGTAGCTTTAACGATTCATCAATATTTAATTTAGATTTTAGTGCTTGATAACTTTATTCAATTTATATATATATATTAGGGATGTTAGTTTAATGCGTTACTTAATTAGTTCTGAAAAATAACGCAATTAAAATATTTTAACGCAGTTAACGCACTGGCCCCGCCCCCAGACCTGCACATCATTTTACATTTCATACAGTTGACTGTTGACAAATATGATGCAGGGCAACAACCCCATAAATGAAGTTATGCCCTAAAATTCTAGATATTGGGGCAAAAATTCCCCTTTATGAGTTTTTGTCTCATATTATATCATATGATAAGCGATATCAACATATAGATTGCATATATAAACACATAGATTACATATAGATTACAACAGTTCAGTAAACAAGAAGTTTATATTGTGTTATATTTGTTTTATTTAATATTGCCAATGAAAATATTACCTATAAAGCCACAGCAGAACTGTGAGCAACACAGCAGTGTTTAGTTTCTGAATGAATTCACTTGAACGAATCGTGTGAACCAATGATTTAAAATATTAAAAATTTTAATAAAGACATTTACCGCCACCTGTTGGTAGTTTTAGTTTCCTCTTTAGAGTATCATTTAATTTATTTAAAAAATAAATCAATAAATCAATAAATAAAGTAATAAATAAATTCTGTCATCATTTACTCATCCTCATGTTGTTTCAAACCTGAATGACTTACTTTCTTTTGCACAACATAAAACAAGGTATTTTGAAGACTGTTGGTAACAAAGCTGTTTTGCTTACCAGTGACTTTCATTGCATGAGCAAAAAGTTCTGATATGTTTCTCAAATTATCTTCGTTTATGTTCCATAGTTTATGTTAGGCCGTTGTAGCTTAAACATGTAACACAATAATAGCTTAAAATGATCTTTTGAGGGTATTTTCACAGCCAAATTTAGTTTGCGATTAATTAACGCAACTGTTTTGAACGAGCACACCTTTTTTAACAACCAAAAAAGACGTTTCTTTATCTATTGAGGAAGTACAGACGTTCCTTTCTTTGATAGCAGAGGAGCGGATCCAGCGAGAGCTTGATGGGGCGATGCGGAATGAAAAAGTTTTTCAGGAGTTGCGGCAGTAGAGGCGGCGCAACTATAACACACGTGAATAATCCCGCCCACTCTAAAGCGGTACTGAACTGCAGTGGAAATGCAAACCGAGCCGAGCCGTGCCGTGCCGTACCGAGTCGTACCACGCAGTGGAAAAGCGCTATTAGATTAATCGCAGCACCCTGTAATTAATTAGAGTCAAAATTTTAATCGACTGACAGCCCTGATATATATATATGAATCTGAAAATGAATACTAGTAGTTGTGCTATCTTTATAAATTCAGTCATTAGACTCACATTAGTTCTGACCAGACATTTGAAACACACTGAAGTACACTCTGAAGCACTTAAACACCTAGACTGCAAAAAAAGGAAATGCTCTTTTTAGCCTTCACATGAAACCCACATCTGACACACATCTGCTGTGAGTCTGATTAACACATCATCAGTGGGCACAGCACAGCTGACAGACTAAATGCCAGATCGAAATGCTGAACGGTGTGGAATGGTCAAGAGGATTCATGCCCCCCACCCTTCATCCTGAAATAGATCATGCAGGCCACCCCACACACACACTATCACACAGATGCGTGCATTCTTTTGTCCACTCACTCTCTCACACACCCCACAGGCTGCCTGTGTGGATCAAACACTCTGTGTGGCTGCCCTGACCTCGGCAGGTCGAGTGCTCTAACTGGGGACGCCACCCTACAGAGAACAGAGGGCAACGTGGGATGCGACCCACTGGCCAGCTGGTTAACCTCCAAACCCATTTAACACACCTCAGGGCAAAGTTTAAGATGCAATCAATTAAAGATGTGGTGCTTTTTAAATGACAGTTTACACTAAAAACGGTTTTAAAATGATACATTTAATTGTTTAGAGATCAGACAAAATCTATGTAAAGTGTTTGTCTTCTTAATCTGATCATGACTGGATTGTTGCTAAGCTCGCTGAAGAATGAGAAGAACATTTGAAGTCAAAGTGAGAGCTGTATTTTCTCAAAAGCTACTCTCTGACTGAACACAGGTGTCTGCCACATGTTAACAATCTAACCATACACACTCACACACATACACACACACACATGCATAAATGTTATTATTTATAGCTTGGCACAATCTTCATCCAAGACACACATGCATCTTGGGTTACGGTCACACAGTCAGTGTTTGGAATTGACAACCGTATTTACTAACAGGTGTGTCAAATCAATGACAAGTAAAAGGGTCCAGGATATTACTTTAAAATTTTTTTCAAAACCTAGTTCAACATGCATGGGCCAAGTTCTTAGAAATAAATTCATGCTTTTTATTCATGTTGTTTTCAAATGGGTTTTAAAGGGGTCATATGATGCTGCTAAAAAGAACATTATTTGGTGTATTTGGTGTAATGAAATGTGTTTATGCGGTTTAAAGTAAAAAAAACACATTATTTTCCACATACTGTACATTATTGTTTCTCCTCTATGCCTCTATCTCCTCAAACTCGCGTTTGAATCATCAGTGGCAAATCCTTTAAATATGAAAACGTACTTACAGACTAAGTCAGAACTGCCGGCATTGTAGTCTACTCTTCCAGGATCAGTAAACAGTCCTCCATAAAATGTGCTGCACACATCTGGATATTTGGGATAAACTGTTCTGGAACAGTGTTGTAAATACAACTTAACCACTGATTTCTAGTC